ACCTCCAGTATAGCTAAGGGTTCTATTACATACTTGGGCCTTCATAGAGGCAAAACCTCTGTACAATATAAATTATCCACCTCTCTTTGACAAGATACGTACTTAATTGCTCTTATGGAAGGATTTGCATCTCTCACTATTTGGCAGAATACATTTGATAAAAATTATCCCATTTGCTAGGCTTCTGTACCCTATGCAAACCCTACCTCTCCTTTTAAAACATAAAGACGTAACAACTTTAAACAAGGCATTTCATCTGACAGGGAAAGAAAGTGAGAATTTCCCTAAAAAAACTGTTTCTGCCCGGGAACAAGGGTGGTATGGCTTTTCCTAATGGTAGACTATATAATTTAAGTTGTCTTCTCAGGCACTCGCCTCGGGTGCAGGCTGGGTGGGGGCGCAGCCAGGACACTGGTATTCCGCCAGTTGGGGGGGATCGGGATCCACTTCGGCTGCGGCGTCTCTGTATACCGCGAGCTATAACTCGCGGTATACAGAGCATTGCGTCACGGGAGAACGCTAGTTTGCGTTCTCCCGCGACCCTTAGGGCTAGTTCACACCAAGCGCGGAGCAGATGCAGAGCAGGTGCAGACCAGATCAAAACTGCGTCCAATGTATTCCTATGGTATTTTGAGCTCCAGTTCACATCGCAGCGTGCAGATCCAGAGCAGGTAAAAAAACTGCAGCAGGCCCTATTTTACCTCCTCTGGATCTGCAAACGCATCAAAAACACATTAAAAACGCATGCAAATGCCTGAAACGCACTGAAAGCCCATGTTAAACAAAAAAAAATGCACACCTAATGCAGAGCAGATCCGGTCAGGTTTCTGCACACGCACGCTAGTCTTTTAGATGCGTTTTTGACGCGTTTATGGTTTAAATTATTATTATTTTTTTTTAGTTTAACATGTGCTTTCAGTGCGTTCCAGGCATTTGCATGTGTTTTTAATGTGTTTTTGATGCGTTTGCAGATCCAGAGCAGGTAAAATAGGGCCTGTTGCAGTTTTTTTACCTGACACTGCTGCGCTATCATTAATTCCTTGTTATTTATTTAGTTTCCTCAAAAAAACAATTTTCTGTTCTTGCCTCGGGCGCAAAATAGGCTAGCTACAGCTCTGTTCTCAGGCATTCTATGGACTGGATTTGCTCCTCCTCACATTACTCCAACTTCTTCCCGGAGACGGAGATGGTCCATCCCCGGGGGCTCCCCTCCCTCTTACATTGCCCTCTCTCCACCTTACCTCCTCTCCTTCGTTCAAACATTCCCCTCCGTGATACTGTTGTGGCTTGGAGGGAAGCACATAAAATTATGAAACTGAACCCCTGCTTTTCCTGTCATTTATATATTAAAGGCAACCCTTCATTTCCACAGGGGGAGGATTATGAAACTTTCACTCAATGGAGAGTGAGGGGGGTCTCCAGGTTTGCACATTTTATATCTAAGGACACTGGCTTTCCCTGAATTACTAACTTTCCCTGAATTTAGAGCTACATATCACGCTCCTGCAAAAGATTTTCTGCATTTCTTACAAGTCATAGCCTATTTAAAAAGCCTCAACCCCATTCTCCCTCAGGTTACCGCTATGTCATCTCTGGACAAAATCCTTTCTGCAGATAGAAGGTCTATAACGGATATATATTCTTACTTAAGGCAGGCTAAAACTCCTTTCCTGACACATTATAATCTTGCTAAATGGTGGATTGATATGCCTACAGAGAATATAGTTGAAAAAAATATTGAAGGTCTACGATCTACGTGTAAAGCAGTGGTTAATGAGCATTGGAGAGAGATGCAATTCCGGATCCTACACATGCCTTCTAGACTAAGTGCATACAGGATCGGGATATATCGTACCTGGACCACTGCCCTAAATGTCAGTTGCAGCCCGCTTCCCTATTCCACTGTTTGTGGGCTTGCCCCTTGATCCAGTCTTTCTGGACCTAGGTCATCGAATTTATTGCTTCTGTGGTGGGCCAGTGGGTACCCTTGGATGCTCTCTTACTACTGTTCAATTATTGGGACACTTCTTCTAACCTCAGTAGATCCGACAAACGATGGATGGGCATCGCACTTCTAGCGGCCAGGCAATGTATTATCCCCCCACCATCCATAGGTTAACGACGACCTCCTGAACTTACTTCATCTAGAAAAGTTAGATGCTGAAACACAACTAGGAGAAGACAAAAAAATAGCATAATTCTATAATAGATGGCTATCCTTTATTGATTTAGTCTTTACTTCCTCGACAGGGAGACATTTTTGTCTCCTTTTCCGTTTTCCTCCAGTGTTCTTTTGGCCAAGATGAGTGGCACGATGTAAATAATCCCTGTAAGGCATAGTAATGCAAAAATTCTTAAATATTAACCTCTTTAACTCTTTGATCTAAGCAATTACAGTACCACAGGAAAGGGCATATTCACTCAGAGCTTAGATTGAAAAAGACGGAATGTAGTGACCATATAATGTTACTTACTTGGGGCCTGTTATGTTTTATTTTTTTATGTTTTATTTTGTTTTGTTTCAACTTACCTTTGCTGTATCTTAAGATCTTATCTAAAAAAAAAACTGAATACACATCTATTGTACAAACAGCAATTGTATCATAATCCTCTTCAATTTATAATGTGCACTTTTGTACCAACAAACTTTTTCAAAAATAAAGAAAATGTTATTTAACCGCTTGAAGACCAGGTGTTTAGATCCCCTTCCTGGCCAGGTCATTTTTCAGCGCTGCATTACTTTGACTGACATTTATTCCGTCATACAACGCTGTACTGCTGTACTGTAATTACTTTTATACCATTTTTGGGGGGACAGAAAGAGCTTTCTTTTGGTGGTATTTAATCACCACTACGGTTTTTATTTTTTACTATAATTAGGAAAAATTACTGAAAATTTTTGGGGAAAAAGTTTTGTTTTACATTGTTAGGAAACATTTATTATTATCCAGTTTTTTGGTAAAATATAAAAGACCGGGTCACGTCGGGTAAATAGACACCAAACAGGTCAAGCTTTAAAATTGTTTGCACCTGCAAAATCGCAAAAAACTACCATACCCAAAATTGTCCATAGGCGGCTCTTTAAAAGCTTTTACCACTCATCAGTTTAGTGTTATCAGCGATTGATGGCCCTAGCATGATTGCTCTCACTGCAATGTTCGCAGCGATATGTAACATGTGCGGCGTAATGGGCGCAATTGTAGTTTTTGCACGTATGTGCCCCCGACGCATGTTTGCATGTGTGTATGTATGGGTGGGGACTTTTTTTTAAAAATGTGTTCTTTTTATTCTTTTTTATGTGTAACTTTAAATTT